CAGCAAAACACTGATCACTGTACGGGACCTCTGTGTGAGGTCCCGATTCATGTGATCACCGATTGGCCAATCAGGAACTGACATCTTGTTTACTACTATTCATGTGATCACTGACATCATTGCTTACTATGTGTGAAATCTGTGAATGATCAGATGATCAGAGGTGACATGGTACAGGGCTATTCACAACAGCCTTGTACCATGTGACAAGCTTTGAACAATCACAGCTCACACAGTATTTCTCAATGGCTGCAAGAATTCAGCCAGAGAGAAGGAGAAATGATTGCTTTTAAAGCCTTTATGGGTGTAAAAGCAATACGTGTAAAAAAAGAAAAAAAAAAATACTTCATCACCCTCCACAAGTAGTACAGTGTCACTATGGTGATACTGAACTGCTAGGTTGAAGGTATGTAAAAAAAAAAAAAAAAAAAAAAACAGAAGTAATAATATAAAAAATAAAATTGTAAGCTATAATTTTTGGTTATAAAACTAAATTGGGTTATTTTTTTTTACTAAAAAGATACTGAATAAGTTTTGGCTAAGATTTATGAAGAAAGATTATTTATTTGCAAAATTTTTATAAGAAAACACTTTTGTTTGGACTTTTTCATTTATATAGCAAAAAAATAAAAATCCCAGTGGTGAATAAATACCACCAAAATAAAGTTTTATCTGTCTCAAACAAATGCTAAAACATTCATATGGGTACACTGTTGCATGACCGCGCAATTGTCATTCAAACTGTGACAGCGCTGAAAGCTGAAAATTGGCGTGGACAGGAAGGGAGTGAAAGTGTCTGGACTTGAAGTGGTTAATCAAAGAAATCCTCAAATCTATATGGAAGGTTAACCCCTTCAAGATAGAGGGTAAAACAAATCTTAATGCTTGGACACATGGAGCAGCGGGTGACCCAGCTTCAACAGATGGACTTCCCTGGCAGAAGCAACAGGTATTTGTACTTTGCAGGGGAACTACGAGAAAATTGCAGGTGCAGATGCACTTATAATTAAAATAATATTACACCCTCAGCTTTTTTAGCTTAAAATCTAGAATGGAATAAAATAAATATTTCTATGAAAACTATTTGTTAAATTTCCTATGAACCTCTTGCAGTTTACAAAGTTCAATGCTGCTGGCTCTTGCTTTGTCACTATTGCTTCTCTGAACTTCCAGTCTTCAAAAGAAAGAATTAATAATGGACAGTGCAGTCTCCAGTCAGTGTTTTAGCTTGGATAAGGGTTGGGGAGAAAGGAGGAGCAGGGAATGCCATGCCATCCTAGACTAAGGGGCTGTGTTTTTCCAGTGTAGAGAGAGAGAACTCTAGTTCCTGCATACAAGGGTGACTCCAGAGAACTATGCAACAGAAAGAAGCCACGCTAAAATAGGAGACCTGGGGCAGCAGTCACGGCACTAGCTTAAACTGAAACTTAGGCGCCACTTAACCTCCTCCTTTGCACTTGCACAGTGCATACAATCCACCACCCATTCCAACGGTAATATCCTTGATCTCGTCTTCTCCAACCGCTGCGCTCCCCACAACCTCACTAACACCCCCTTCCCTCTCTCTGACCACAACCTGATTACCTTCTCTATCTCCTCGTCCTCCAACGCCTACCCCTCCAAATGTCACACTACTACCAGCCGTAACCTCCGCAACCTTAACCCTGCCCCTCTCTCACTCTGCAGCTGATCAACTCCACGACAGCATCCTCCCCCTGTCCTGCCCCGACTTGGCTATGACTGCCTACAACAACGCGCTGTCAACAGCCCTTAACTCACTAGCGCCTTTAACCACACGCAACATCAGACCCCGACCGCTCCAGCCCTGGCAGACTGATCACACCAAAACCCTCAAACAACACAGTCGTGCCATGGAGCGACTATGGCGCAAAACCAAATCCCAACAAGCCTTCACCTGCTACAAATCTTCCTTCCACACCTACACCTCCTCCCTCCACGCAGCCAAACAAGCCTACTTCCTGACCCTCATCAAGGACCTCTCCTCCAATCCTCGCCGACTCTTCTCCACCTTCAACTCTCTACTCTCGCCACCCCCACCTCCCTCACTGCCCTTGAGATTGCCAATCACTTCAAAAACAAGATTGACACAATTCGCAAGGACATCGCCGCAACTCACACGCCCTCTCAACCCGTCCCCTCTCACACAGCTACCTCCACATCCCCCCTCTCCCTCGACATAACCTGCAGGGACTTCGTCGCTGCTCAAACTCCCTCCAACCCCGTTCCCCCTCACTCAACTACCCCCTCAACACCCCTCTCCCACGGCCCCACCACTGCTCTGACCCCCACTTCCACCCCACCCTACATTCCTCATACCGAAGCCCCCCCAACACTCCGCATCTTTGACCTTACTACCATCGAGGAAGTCTCCAAGATCCTCTCTGATGCCCGCCTCACCACCTGCCCCCTCGACCCTATCCCCTCACAACTCCTACGACCTCCCTCCCCCTCCATCCTACGCTCCCTCACCCACATCTTTAATCTCTCCCTCTCCTCCGGCACTTTCCCCTCCCCTCTGAAACATGCACACATCACCCCCATACTTAAAAAGCCCTCCCTGGACCCCAATGACCCGAACAACCTCAGACCCATATCCCTGCTTCCATTTACATCTAAACTCCTTGAGCGCCTAGTCTACACCCGCCTAAGCTCTCACCTCAACGATAACAACCTCCTCGATCCCCTACAGTCCGGCTTCCATCCCCTACACTCCACCGAAACTGCCTTACTCAAACTCTCCAACGACCTGCTAACCGCCAAAGCTAATGGCCACTATTCAGTGCTCCTACTCCTTGACCTCTCTGCGGCCTTCGACACAGTCGACCACCCACTCCTCCTCCTCAAAAAACTACACTCCTCGGCCTCAGAGATTCTGCTCTCTCCTGGCTCTCATCCTACCTGTCACAACGCTCTTTCAGCGTTACCTATAATGCTACCACCTCCCCCTCACTCCCCCTCTCTGTTGGGGTCCCTCAAGGCTCTGTCCTCGGGCCCCTTCTCTTCTCCATCTACACCTGCTCCCTTGGCCAACTCATACACTCTCACGGCTTCAACTACCACTTCTATGCCGACGACACACAAATCTATCTCTCAACCCCCCACCTCACCCCCTCGGTCTCCGTCCGAATCACACACCTACTGAGCGACATATCAGACTGGATGTCGCTCCACTTCCTTAAACTGAACCTCTCCAAAACCGAGTTTCTTGTCTTCCCCCCATCCCGGACACCACCCCCCATTGACTTCTCCGTCACATCCAACAACGCCACCATCAAACCCGCCCCGCAGGCCAGAGTACTTGGTGTCATTCTGGACTCCAACCTATCCTTCCAGCCCCAAGTCCAATCTTTAACAAACTCGTGCAGACTCCGCCTCTGCAACATCTCCAAAATCCGCACGTTCCTAACCCCAAAAACCACTAAACAGCTCATCCACTCCCTCATCATATCACGACTCAACTACTGCAACTCCCTCCTCACTGGCCTGCCTTGCCGCTGGCTATCCCCGCTTCAGTCGATCCGAATACGGCTGCCAGACTCATTCACCTTTCCAACCGCTCCATCTCCGCCACCCCCCTCTGCCAATCCCTCCACTGGCTTCCGATTGCGCAACGGATCAAATTCAAAATCCTAACACTGACGTACAAAGCTGTCCACCATACTGCCCCGTACTACATCACTGACCTAATATCCAAGTACCGCCCAGCACGCAAACTCCGCTCCTCACAAGACCTCCTTCTCTCTAGTTCCCTGGTTTCCTCCTCCCATGCCCGCCTCCAGGACTTCTCCAGGGTGTCACCCATCCTCTGGAACTCCCTGCCCCAACCCATCAGATTATCACCTACTCTCCTCTCCTTTAGGCGCACCCTGAAAACCCACCTCTTCAGGGAAGCCTACCCCACCCCCTGCTAACCTGCCGACCTCCTCCACTCTTCCTACCACTCCATCCCCCACAGCTATCTCCTCCTGTACCACTATTCCCTCCCTCCTTGATTGTAAGCTCGAAAGAGCAGGGCCCTCGATCCCCTCATGTTTTGCATTGTATTGGTATTGTTCTGTCACATGTTCTGTCCCCCTTTGTAATGTACAGCGCTGAGCGAACCATTGGCGCTTTATAAATACTGTATAATAATAATAATAATAATAGATCTAAAAGATAAAGAAGCTGCATATAGTATTAAATCAGCTACTGAAAATACTTAAAACTGAGTATTTAATATCACTAATTGCTGTATCGCATATTTTCTATTGGAAGGCCACAGTTTTATTTTAACTGTATTTGCATGGGTATCCTTCAGCTGCTTGCATTATTTAAAAGCAAACAGCTGTATGACTTCAGAAGGCATATTAGATAATAAGCCCCACTATGGTCCAGTGCCTTATGTATACTATGGAATACAGTAGGTCTTTCACATATAAAGCAGTTTATAAAATGAATAAAACCAAGCCCAACAGCAGCCATTTTTAAAATGTCACACTTCAGAAATATGCAGTATATGAATAAATGTTTCTGCCAAGTTTGTTTGCTGTCTGTGTCACATTGAACAGATATAACGTCACTCCCTGAAATAGCAGGAGAAAAAAATGAGGGCAGCAGTTGTCAATATTGTCAATAGGACAGAAAGCCAGAGATAATAATAACACCATGACAGGGGTTCTGTTCCTTCCCCATTTTACTGGAAACAGTATTTTGCTGCAGTCTGTGTAGCACTGTGGAGACTTCATATTACTTTCTACCCCAACAAAATGTGCCAGAAAATCCCCCTTATGGCCATGTGGACCACAGTAAAACCTGTTTTTCCTTTCTCCATTCTGTCTAAAAAAAAAAAAAAAAAAAAAAAAAAAAAAAGGCTTTAGCTTGAGCTAGGCTTTATTCAAGAATTAACACTCGCATTCAAATACTACATAACTTATTTTACTTAATAAGAATATAAAAAAGCATGTACATATGTATTACCTGATAACGCATTTAATACTAGGTCATCTGTTGTAAATTGCATTCCCAATTTTTTGCCATTCTCCATATAAGCTTTTGCCAGAGTCTTATTTGGAAGCACGTTGTAATAATCATTACCATATGGGCATAGCTCCACCTATAATAAAAAAACACCAATATGAAGCTGGTCATCGATTTAAGTAGGGGTGAGATGTGTAGGCTTGATTTTACTAATTAATTTTTTCACTGCATAAAATACGCTTTTGAAACTTACAATGAAATCTCTTTTTTGAAGTTCATTGAGGGACACAGTAATTCAAGAATCCTAAAATAGGGATTATACTGTCACCTACAGGAGTGACACTGGCAAACATAAAAAAATTGAAGCCAGACCCTCTATGACCTTTATAGAAAAGCAGTAACCAGTAGCAATAACACAACAGAGCTGGCCCTGTGCCCCTCAATGGACTTCAAGAAAAAAGATTTTACAGTAAGTACAAATATCTTATTTATTTTATCAGCCATTTAGAGCCAAAAGAATTCTGAAATTCTTAAACATTTAGGATGTCCAAATAAGCATGGGTAACAACCACAGAGATGTCCAAAAAATATAGGTATCAATATGTGAGGGGTCTTCAAAAAGTTTCCGCACTTTTATATTTTCGTTGGAAACGGTGAGCACTTGCTCTTGTCTGAGAGCATTACTTTCTTAAAGGGGAGAAAAAAAGTGCTCAACTGCTGAATTCTCATTCTTCAAGCACTTGGTCGTGTCTGAGAGCATTATGTGACTAGTCTGTCTGGAAAACCGGCTGACCCTGCAGTTTAGTATAAAAGTTGCCATTAAATTCTTAATAAATAGAGTTAAAAAAAGTGCAGAAACTTTTTGATGAGACCTCGTACAATACTACCTGAGGGATCCAACGCCTGACTCAAGGCTAGGTGAACAAAGGTCCGAGCAAATTGCCAAGACTGAGGGGAGGACATGGAGGATCAACCTTGTGCTCCAGACCAGGACTGATAAGCACTGCTAAAGGGGAAAATGATACCTAAAGTTTCAATCAGCAAAAGTGAAGGACCAACTCTCCATCGAAAAACACAAACAGGAGACCAGGCAACCAACTAATGTGATCAACAAGAAATGTTCAATAGGCCAAGTCCCAGAAGGCCAAGTCCCAGGAGGCCAAGTCAAAGCTTAATTGAACAAGCTGATTTTCTACCATTCACAGATGCACCAGATTTTACACTCTACATGCTTAGTAAATGAACCCCAATATGTCAAGAACTATTCAGTGAACTGTAGAAAAAGGCTTATGACTATTGTGAGTCAGAAGTCACTTTGGGTGAGGGGCCCTTGGAACCCAGCTCATTTTGGAGAGGTGGGGAGACCCTGTCTCAGTTCCTCATATCCCTCTTACAGTTGCAGGAAAAAGTATGTGAACCCCTTGGGATTACGTGCAGTTTTGCATGAATTGGACATAAAATGTGCTCTGAATGTCATCTAAGTCACAACAATAGAAGAACACAGTCTGCTGAACATAATACTACACAAACATTAGATGTTGCCATGGTTTAATTGCACATAACATGTAAACATTCACAGTGCAGGGAGGAAAAAGTATGTGAACCTCTGGACTTAATAACTGGTTGACCCTCCTTTGGCAGCAATAACCGCAACCAAACGTTTCCTGTAGTTGCAGATCAGACCTGCACAATGATCTGGAGTAATTTTGGACCACTCCTCTTCACAAAACTGTTTCAGTGTAGCAATATTTTTGGGATGTCTGGTGTGAATCACTCTCTTAAGGTCATGCCACAGCATTTCAATCGGGTTGAGGTCAGGACTCTGACTGGGCCACTCCAGAAGGCGTATTCTGTGCTGTTGCAGCCATTGTTTTGTTGAATTACTTGTATGCTTTGGGTCATTGTCCTGTTGCATCACCCATCCTCTGCGGAGCTTCAGTTGGCGGACAGATGGTCGTACGTTTTCCTGCAAAATGTCTTGATAAACTCTGGAATTTATTTTCCCATCAATGACAACAATCCGTCCAGGCCCTGAGGCAGCAAAGCAGCCCCAAACCATGATGCTCCCTCCGCCATGTTTTACAGTGGGGATGAGGTTTTGATGTTGGTGTGCTGTGCCTTTTTTTCCTCCACACATAGTGTTGTGTGTTCTTCCCAAACAACTCAATCTTGGTTTCATCTGTTCACAGTATATTTTGCCAGTAGTGCTGTGGAACATCCAGGTGCTCTTTTGCAAACTTCAAATGTGCTGCAATATTCTTTTTGGACAGCAATGGCTTCCTCCGCGGTGTCCTCCCATGTACTCCATTCTTGTTTAATGTTTTCCTTATTGTAGATGTGTCAACAAAAATGTTAGCATGTGCCAGAGATTTCTGTAGGTCTTTAGCTGACACTCTGGGATTCTTCCTTACCTCATGCAGCATTCTGCGCTGTGCTCTTGCAGTCATTTTTACAGGACGACCATGCCTAGGGAGAGTAGCAACAGTGCTAAACTTTCTCCATTTGTAGACAGTCTGTCTTACTGTGGACACATTAACATCAAGGCTTTTGGAGATACTTTTGTAACCCTTTCCAGCTTCATGCAAGTCAACAATTCTTGATCGTAGGTCTTCTGAGAGCTCTTTTCTGCGAGGCATGCTTCACATCAGACAGTGCTTCTTGAAACCAGTAAACCCAAAACAGGTGTGTGTTTTTTAAGGGCAGGACAGCTGTCAGCAACACATCCAATATCATCACACTGATTGGAGTCAAGGTTGGCTCACTCCTGGCTCCAATTAGCTCTGGGAGAAGTCATTAAGCTAGGGCCTCATATACTTTTTCCTCCCTGTACTGTGAATTTTTACATGTTATGTGCAATTAAACCATGGCAACATCTAATGTATGTGTAGTATTATGTTCAGCAGACTGTGTTCTTCTATTGTTGTGACTTAGATGACGTTCAGAGCACATTTTATGCCCAATTCATGCAAAACTCCACGTAATCTCAAGGGGTTCACATACTTTTTCTTGCAACTGTAGTTCCCCACTAAAGTAGGAATCAGAGATCCCAGGATGCTGGAACACAAACAAACCTTGGGAAAGATGCACGACAGCATACGGCAATACCAAAAGGGTGAAGAGGGTCAGCTGACAGAGATGCCTGAAACAAGGGTGTAAATTGGAGGATACAGGAGGAGACTTGAGCATCCAAACACCTGGGAGGTAAACTAGGATGAACAAATTATCCTCTGGCTTCAAGTCCTAAGGCTTGAGTGGATGGTAGGTTCTGATTGCCTACGAGGTACTACTTCCATGGTAAGTGAAGGAGAAAGGAGAGTTCCTTCGCCCCATCCACAGATATCCTGTGTTGAGCTAGGAAGACGCTCCAACCACCAGTGGTATTGCTTATGACAGTGTCATAAGCAGGTCTGAAAGGATGACTTCCCTTGAAATGGAAGTCCAATGATCCTTGACGTATCATCAGCTTCCCAGGCATGTAGCCAAATTTCCGTATTCATATGAATGGACATAATCCATATGCAGGACACAAGCTTAGATGCTTGTAGGAGACCCTCACAGCTCCTGTAAAGCAAGGAGCTTCAGAAATTTGCTCCAGATTTTCAGTTACACAAGGGTCTTCCTCTGTGATTAAGCCTATTATAACAGAGTTTGGCAAATCATCACCAGTACAGGACAGTGCAACCCTCCCATTAGTTCAAACTGGAATCTATGTAAGGAATATAACTGCCTGCCAGTATACTCCCTAAATGTTAAAACAATATCAACCTGATTGGTTGTATGCTTATTAAGGTGCAGCACTAACTAGGTTAGAGACAACTCTTTGTAAATTTGAGTCAGCCATAGGTAGCTCAAAAATAGCCTCTCCGGAAGCAGACTGTGAGGACTCTGAATTAGAAAAAAAGAGTTGATAAAGGCCCCAGCACACTTTGAGATGGAAGCCTAGAAGGCTCAGAGCATGGTATTTTAGAAACAGGTGGTATGCTTCTGCTGAATGGCAGAAGAAAGCCTAAGCCTTAACACTTACCAAGGTGGGAAATTTAAAAAGTGCACAACTGTACAACAATGAAGTAGCTCCCTGTGCTTCAGTCTGACCGGACTTACTCCCGAAAGAAGTCTTAAGAGATTGGTCAGACCAGAGACTGTGCCACAGTTGTGGACTAATATAGCACTCTGTGGCTAACACAGTACACATAGGTCTTGAAAATACCACAATGCAGATCCCAGTGCCTGATCATACCAGTCATGCCATACCAGGCTAGGTCTGCAATCTAGCCTAGTAGGATCTGTGTACAACCTTCAAAGATGTTGCTGAGGATATGCAGAATGCTGGATAGCTGCTGTTCAGAGACTAGCTCAAGCAGGTATTGAGTCAGAAAAAATATGTAGGTTGTACTGAGTATCTTGACTGAACAAAGAAAAAAATCAAAAGAAAAAATAAGAATAATGAGGCTTGTCAAATTGTAGTTAGTCTTTTTCAACAGAGCAGCAGAAAAGGCAATCGACTTTTTTGGACACTAGAAAAAGAGGATGCAAGGTTAGACTGGGGTTGGCTTTATTGCTCTTTTGGTTTGCCTCAGGGAAAAAAAAAAAAAAAAAAAAAAAAAAAAAAAAAAAAGTGTAGGGTTGTTTGCAGAGTACCTATAGACATTCACCAATTTGGTGGAGTTTAACAACTTCAATACCAGGCACTTTTATCCATTCCTGCCCAGGCCAATTTTCAGCTTTCAGTGCTGTTGCACTTTGAATGAAAATTGTGCATCTTTTCACACAAATAGAGCTTTCTTTTGGTGGTATTTTATTTTTTGCTAATCGAATATGTTGAAAATAAATAATTGCTCTTCATAAATTTATGTCAAATGTGTTCTGCTACATTACTTTGGTGAAAATAACCCAAATTAGTATCTATTATTTAGTCTGTAAGAAAGAGTCCACAAATTATAGCATACAGGTGAAACTCGAAAAATTAGAATATCGTGCAAATGTTCATTTATTTCAGTGATGCAACTTAAAAGGTGTAACTAATATATGAGACTCATTACATGCAAAGCAAGATAGTTCAAGCCGTGATTTGTCATAATTGTGATGATTATGGCTTACAGCTCATGAATACCCCAAATCCACAATCTCAGAAAATTA